TTCTCTGACCTTCCAAGGAAAGGAGCAGGCTTTCTGAAGGGCTGGCCAGCGTCTGATGGCAGGCCAAAGGCCCTTAGCTGAGCTAAGGTTGCATCACCTCCCCTTCTGGGAAACCATTCCCACCCCGGATGAAGGGGCTGGAAAGATTGATGGTTTTTTTCCTTCATCCTATTTTTTTCTTTTTTAAAGCAATTAAAAGGATTTCTTGAAAGTCCCCAGTCACATCTTGATTAGATTCTTTCAACCACATGGATGGGCCCTTTTCCCCAAGTGCCTGCTGGTCCCAGAGAAACAGTGAGCAACATTCAGAATCCAATGGGCTGGGGCTTGGGGCCAGGTCAAGGCAGAAATTATAAAGAAGGTGAGGTAGCTGTTGGAACACTTTTTCTGGCTCAGCCTCTTTTCTGAAGCCCAATTCTCTCTTTCCTTCCTTCTCCCTCTCCCCCTTTTCCACCTCCCTTACTACTCCCTTCCTATCTACTCCTTTTTCTTCCCTTCTTCCTCTTCTCACCTCTCTTCCCTTCTCCTTCCTTTCTCCTCTCCTCTTCTGTTTTCTATCCCCAACCCCAACACACACTTAGGCCCTTAGGCCCCCAAATAATAGCTCAGTACACTTTCCCATTCTCTTATTCACTGATAGGGCCTGGCAAGGATGCTTCAGTAATGGAAGGAGAAATTACAAATTCTGAATGTGAGATTCCCAGGAGTCAAACTCATTTGACTGCACTAAGGCACATGGATGAGTGAAATTACATTGGGTCACTCTCGTGATGGCAAGCCTGAGCCAAGACATGCTCAATGATAGCTGCACAATGTATTTTCAAAGTGAAGGAGCTGAGCAGCTTTTAACTTAGGGCTTCTCATCTGGAAGGTAGCCATACATGTAAGTAGATTAACACCTCAGGCCACTTGCATCGGATGGGTATAGTCTGAGGTTGGACTCTAATCTCCAAAGCAGGAGTTCTGAACCTCTTTTGCGTCTTGGCACCCTTGGGGATCCATGGGGCCTTGGACAGTCACTTCCAAAAGACAGAAAACTGGACTCAGAACTGAAGAGGAGAAAGAGCTCCGGAGGGATCTGGAAGTTACAAGTCACTTTGAGGGACCCCAAGTTTGTCTATGAAACAAACATATATCATTTCAACATCAGTATTCTTCTAATGATGAAATATGGCATCATAGTATGAATGACTTCAATCTCCAAGAAATCAGAATGGGCGGAGGGGTCACTCAAATAGCCATGGAGAGATGTAAGGTGGGTATAAATAATTTGTAGCATATTACCAACAATAAATTGTATGTAAAATGTGGTATAAAAGATATTATCCAGGAGATATAGGACCAAAAATTAGATAGGCCTGTTGGACAGGGGCCATGGTTAACAGATGGATGATCCAGGCAGTGTCCTAGGCACCACGTAATGTCAGCAGACCTACAGGTGGCTTCCAAGAACATTTGGTGAATTTAGAAGAGCTTATGTCCTGAGTTATCCAGGATTGGAAGACAATCTGGCCAGGTGGAAGGACCCTTCATGTCAGTGGGACCCCATCTAATATTCATATGGAGCCTAGTGTGTGCAAGAGACAGTGCTAGGCACAGAGAAGATGGAAGATGAGGGCTGTCTCAAAGAGCTCCCATTCTACTGTGGGCATTAAGTATGTGAAGAAAAAGTGTAAACATGGCACCATGAGGAGAGAGAGCAGTGAAATCACCAATCTGTGGAAGCTTTGAGGGGTATATGTGTATGTAAGTACACAGATATTTAACCATGTTACAGATCTAGGTCACTGCCTAAGAAAGGGGGATAAACTGGCTCAAAACATAACCTTCTTCTGAGGGTTCCTTTTTCCCGTTTTTAAAAGTCACACGTATGTAACAACAGCCCTATTAGCTAGCACTGAGAACAGCACTTCATGGTTGCAAAGCCCTTCAGAGATACCATCTCATTCATTCTTGCCAACAATCCTGGGAGGGAGGTGCTATTATTATCTCCATTTTATAGATGAGGAAACAGATAAAGGTTAAGGGACTTGCCCAGGGTCACATGGCCAGTAAGGATCTAAGGCAGATTTGAATTCTCATCTTCTTGACTTCATAACCAGTACCATCAAGCTTTCTCTTATATGTATACGGTTGAATTTAGTATATGATTATAAGTAGCACTTCCTTCAATTTGCACTTGTAGGCTGAGCACCCTGGAGTGCAGCCACCCTCGAATTCTAGGGGCACCAAGGACACCCTGTGAGTCCTCACTATTAAAAATACAGTTCACAGGCTCCCAAAGGTGAGCTCCTCTTCTGTAGTCAGCCCATGGATGCGATGAGCTGAGGGCAAAGGCATAGCACTAACAACAGCCACAAAAATCGCCCACGTGGGCACACTTGCCACCAGATGCACACCTCAGCGAAAAAGTGGACACCGAGGGTGGTGGCAATGAGGTACAGGGGCAGGGAGCTAAGCAGGGGTGTGCTGGTAAATGTTTAACAACCAGCTCTCTAGGGACAGTGGGTGGAGAGGGGGGATGTGTGTAGGAAACGCTTTTAAGTTCCTCTGCATTATTGATATATTTTAGAGTGACAGTCAAGAAAACCATACATCAAGCCCTTATTTGTATTGTTGGCTGATTTCTGAACATTTATTTTATTTTATTTATCTATGTATTTTGGTTAGGCAATGGGGTTAAGGGACTTGCCCAGGGTCATACAGCTAGTGTTATGTATCTGAGGTCAGATATGAACTCAGGTCCTTCTGAATCCAGGGCCGGTGCTCTATTTCTGAACATTTAACAATCAGCTCCTTGGCTCATCGGGTTCCAGCACTTCTCTAGAATCAGGTCCTGCAGGAGCCTGGAGTTCTTAATTCTCATGGAATCCTCCAGGTGACCCTGGCCCCCCTCCGCATTCTTTACTCAGCTGTCACTCCCTGGTTCTGACCCTGTCTGCATGACACCTCTTAACTGCCAGGTGTAATTCTCCCTTAATTCTGCACTCAGCTCTCTTTTCTCTCGGCAAGATTTTTTCCTTCCTTGAATTCCACCTGCCCCTCTGGGTCTCTGTCCAACCACAGAATATGCTGGGCACCTTCTGTGTCTCCCACTGGGTGAATGAGCCTATTTTAAGATGGCATGGCTGAGATAGGGCAGGAAAGCCTCTTTCCCTCCTTCTTCCCCTTCCCACTTCTTCTCCTTCTTCCCCTTCCCCTCTCCTTCCCCTCTCCTTCCCCTCCCCCTCCCTCTTCTCCTCCCTTCCCTCCCCCTTCTCTCTTCCCTCCCCTCCCTCTTCCTCTCCCTCTTCTCCCCCTTTCCTTCCCCTTCCCCTTCTCCTCCCCCTTCCTCTCTCTCCTCTCCTCCTTCCTCCCCTCCTCCCCCCCCCTCCTTTTTCCTCTCTTTCCCTATGTAAAGGCACAAGAGTGCCTCAAAGCCGTTCCCTGCCTCGAATGTCTCCAACTCTCCAGTTGCTGCTATTCAGCACTGGTGGGTTTGTCTTTCATGTACTACCTGGAACTGTGGCCAGTGTTTTCCCAGCCAATGACAGAGCTCCATTTCTAATCCAGTTTGAGGGCTTTTTAATATTTGGTGAAGAGACAATGCAGTAAACAACTCTTTGCACCTTGTTAGCAAATTAATACTTCATTACCTTTGTTCTCTGGCCCTTACTTTCTGTGATTATTTCAACTAGCTGTGGGAGGCGATGCTGCTTCGTCCCTCCCCACACAGCAGCATGGAGACACACATACACACATATACATATAGACATCTATAAGTATGTACAGAGAGAGGGCATGAGAGAAAGAGAAGGGGGGAGAGACAGAGAGACAGAAACATGAAGGGAGGGGAGAGAGAGAGAGAGAGAGAGAGAGAGAGAGAGAGAGAGAGAGACAGAGACAGAGAGAGAGAGAGAGAGAGAGAGAGAGAGAGAGAGAGAGAGAGAGAGAGAGAGAGCGAGGGCTCAGATGCTATCCAGTCTAACCTTCTCATTTTACAGGTGAGGAAACTGAGATTAGAGAAAGCGACTTGTTTGAGATCAAGAGGATGAGCCTGGACTTGAGGCCAGGACCTGTGACCCAGAATCCATCCTTGGTCCCCCGACCTGCCCCCACCATGCTGTGGTGACATAGACTTGCACAGACACTCATTTCAAAGTGTCCTTTCCTATTATTTTTACTAGACCTGAAGCTTTTTGGGTTATGACCATTTCCTCTTTGGGTCCTACCTAGATCCCCAGTAAAGGTATTGCCATTTTTCCTGCTTGAGGGCTTTCATATCCTCTCTCTGTTTGAATATCACATTAATTAAGCAATTGTCAATTGAATGACCCATTCTATGAAGACCTTCGGTGTTTCTTAGAAAATAAAAGCAACTAGTTGTAAACACAGGATGGAAAGAATCAGCAGTGAAAGTCTCCAGTTCCACGGGTGCTGGTGAATTTCCATTCTAAGCACTGCCGTGGTTTGGACCACATTTCACAGGCTTATCCCAGGACCACAAAAATAGAGGAAATTGAGTACAGAGAGGTTGCCCGAGGTCCCGTGGGTAGTAAGAAGCCAGGCTAGGATTGGAACCATGGTCCCCCGGGGTCAGATCCAGCCTCCTTGCCCCAGTACTGTGGCTAAGACTATTAGAGCTGCAATGGACTGGACAGGTCACTCTAGTGCCTAGTCGAGCCTCATAATTTTACCCAGGAGGAAAGTGAGGCCTGGAGAAGGAAAGCAATCATAACAGTAACTATAACTACCACTTATGCAGAACTTCTAGGTTCAGCCAGATGTCACTGAATCCAGAAGAGGGCTGGGCCTGGGGTGAGGAAGACTCCTCTTCCAGAGTTCAAATCCAGCCTCAGACACTTACCAGCTGGGTGACCCTGAGCAAGTCACTTAACCCTGTTTGCCTCAGTTTCTTCCTCTGTAAAATGAGCTGGAGAAGGTACCTTTGCCAAGAAAACGGGGTCATGAAGAGTCGGACACAACTGAAAAATGACTCGACAACAACAAAAGGTGCTTTCCAAATATTAATTCATTTTAATCTTGCAGCCACCCTGGGAGGCAGGTGCTCAGTGACTCACCCATGATCACCCAAGCAGAGATAGCAGAGCCGGGGTTCGAACCCAGCTCCCCAGCTACTCCACATTGTCGCTCTTCGCTACAAAACACAGCGAGGTAGGGCAGCGGCCCTGCTCACGCTATATGCTCTCCTGCCATCTTGAAATTCGGGGTTCTTTCCACTGCATCCCACTGGCTTGAGCTGTCCGGCGACCCAGAGAGAGAGAGACAAAGAAAAGACAAATGTTCATTAACAGTCTGCTGTGTGCAGAGCCCCAGGCGGGGTTCCCAGGGTTAGACCACGATCCCTGCCCTCAGCAAACTTAGAGTCTAGTAGGGGAACGAGACCCCAGTGTACATGAAATTTTATATGATAAATGCTAGAGAGGACAAAATACTCTGGGAGCTCTGAGGGGGAAGGTCATTGCCCAAGGGGAGGGTGGAGGAATCCAGAAAGGTCCCCTTTTCACTTCGATTTCTCTGGCCTTCGGTTCAGCCTCCACCGCTCTTCCTTGCAGCCTGTTTTCTGTTTTCTTTTTGGACACCATCTAAACCTCATTCCAATTATTTCTGGAATGACTTTCCCTTGCTGAGTGGGGCCTGCCAAATCCGGCCAGCGCCCAGCTGATTGTTCATTTGTGACTCAGTGGCCATTTAAAGGCAGGCTTCAGACAGTTCTAATGAGGACTGTTGCCAGCCGGCATCTTCTACCAATTACTGTGATTTATATATTTTTTTAAAAAACCCTGCAGTCTTTACACAGATTTATTTTTTCTTTAAGAGATTCTTGGCTTACAGTGTTCAAGAGGATACAAGTATTGGGTAAGGAATAGCCTGGACCAGAACAGCCCATTCCCCTCTGGCAAACGCTCCCTATATGTGTTTAAATCGCGCCTTCGTTCAGCCTTGTTTTCTGTTTTTTCTCCCTCGGCCCCCCACCCACTCTAAAACCACAGAGCCAGCATGCACAGTGGGTCTTCCATCAGGAACCGTCTGATAGTCTCTGAGTCAGCTTCTCCCAGGGAGTCAGAGTTGGCTCGGCATCAGGATATACGGTCTCTCTTCCCCCCCCCCCCATTCCTCCCTCTCCACTCCACCCCCTCCTGCTCCTCGAACCCCCTGCCCGATATTCCGGCATAACATGAACCCGATGACCTGGGTGATTTCATTGGTGGCTGACGAAACCCAGCCAGTGGGAAACTCGCGCCTCACTGTCCGGTTTCGGACCGGGGCTGGGGAAGCAGCTAAGGTCAGAATCCCAACCCGAGGCAGACAGCAGTACAAATAAACAGCCAGAAGCAGACAGACATCGAGTCAGGAAAAACCCCCTTTGTGGCTAGACCATCAGTTTCACGAGTGCCTGCCCGGGAATGTCGGATTCAAGTTCACTGTGGCTGAGACCAAAAAGAAAAAAGAAAAAAAGGTGAAGAGCTCATCTCAGAAGACAGGATCGGTGGGACAAATCCGCTTTTCCTTCCCGACGTTGCTTTTGGTGATTAGCTTCCATTTACACTGTATAGATCTTTTTCATACGTAGTCATTTATGTTACCTGCCCCCTCATGCCCCTCACTCCATTAGCGTGGAAGCTTGTGGAGGGAAGGGACCGTGTTTGCCTTTCTCCTGCCTTTAGCACAATGCAGGACACACATTAAGCACCGGATGCTTGTTGAATGAATGACTGACCTAGCTCTGGATCCAAAGTAAAATCTCCATGAAATGCACACACTAGTTCTTAAGCAGGAGTTTGTAGATTGGGATCCATGAACTTAAAAAAGAAGAACTTGGATCACTGTATTTCAATATAATTGATTTCCTTTGTATTTTGTTTTATACATTTAAAAACATTATTGTGAGAAAGGGACTATAGAATTCCCCAGACTGGCTGCCGGAGGGGTCCAGAAAATCCACACAGAAAGGTTAAGGAGCCCTGGGATCATGCAGCTACATGGCACCATTTTGGAACACGCTGGAAGAGGCAGGTTCAGAATTAGCAGAAAGTTGGGATTGCAGACCAATGAAAGAAATCTTATTCTGCTTAGCTCCAGAGAGCATAGCTAGGAACACTGTAAAGGGGCAGAATTGGGGGTCAGAGGACCTGCCCCTACCACCTGTGTGGTCCTAGGAAAGTCACAACCTCCCTGTGACTCAACTTCCTTATCTGTAAAATGATGGAGTTGAACTAGATGACCTCAGATGTCCCTTCCAGCCCTTTTTCTATGATCCTGAGTCATAGCAAGTCAGAGTTTGGCTCTACATAAGGAGGAAATTCCAAACAATTAGAACTGACCAAAAAAGGAATGAGCTTCCTTGGAAGATAGTAATAAAGCTCTAATTTTTCCTGGTGCTTTAGGGCTTACAAAGCACTTTTCATCCATCATTATCCCACAACAATCCTGTGAGAGAAGAGGTGGAGAGTGTGTTGTTATCACACCCATTTTACAGATGAGAAAGTTGAAGCTGAGGGAGGGTAGGTGACTTTTCTACAGTCACAAAACTAATAAGTACCTGAGTCTAGGTCTTCCTGATTCCCAGTCCAGCTGGCCAGTCTGTCCACTAAGCCATCCCTGAAGTCTTCGAGCAGGGACCCAAAGGCCACTTGCTAGGCATCTGTGCTGGGGACTTGTGTTCAGTTACAAGTTGGGCTAGATGGCCTCTGGGGTCCCTACTGGGTCAGGTCGTGTGGTTGGTACACGAAATGACCCCCCCCCCCCAAGGTGGCCAAGTAGAGATCCTTCTAATATATCACTAAGAGAGATTAGAAATTAGCTTGTGTGTGTGAAGGTGGGGTGTCATGGTGTGGTGAGACTCCGTGACCTGGCTCCCTTGGCCATCTTTCCTATGTAGTCTTGTAATCTCAAGCAACTTCCGTCATTTCTGTCACCCTCAGTTTCATCATCTGTAACATAGGTATAAAACAATTTCCTTGGCCAACTGCACTGGCTTGCTATTAGGAACCCCCCGGGGAAACCTTGAATCACCACAGAAATGAGTATTGGTGTTTCTGTGGTTATAGTATTTTAATTCACTTTTTTTTTGGGGGGGTACAGGTCTGCAACTTTATCAGTGTTGGGAACTCCCCCTTCTCCCGAGGAAACCTCTTCCACCAACATGCATCAGAAGTGGCTCTGTGACTTTGGGTCTCAGAATGTTACCAGTCATAGACAGTGACTTCCTGGGGTCAAACAGCCAGAAATGGGACTTGAACCCAGATCTTCAGGATGCTGAGCCTCTTCTCTATCCAAGCAGCTAGGTGGTGTAGCAGATACAGTGTAGGACCTGCAGTCACAAACACCTGAGTTCAAATTTGACCTCAGACACTTGTGAGCTGTGTGACCAGGGCAGCGAGTCACAGGACTTTTTAGTTTCAGTTTCCTCATCTGTAACATGGGTGTAATAATGGCATCTACCTCCCAGGGTTATGGAGAGGACAAATTGAGGTAATACCTGTACAATGCTATTCAAACCTTGAAGGGCTATACCCGTGCTAGCCATTCTGATTACCCCCGGCAGCCTTTCTTGGTAGTAAATTTACATAAATTATGATGCTTAATTCATTGTTTTTAAAGTAAGTTAAATAATGATCTCAATAAGATTTAGCTTGGGGGGGGGGCACTGGCCCTGAAGTCAGGAGGACCCAAGTTCAAATCCAGCCTCAGACCAAACATGACATTTATTAGCTGTGTGACCCTGGGCAACTCACTTAACCCCAGTTGCCTAGCCAAAAAAAAAAAAAAAAAGATTTAGCTTCTGAACTGGCTGGGGCAAACCTTCAGGCGCTTGGTTTGCTTTGGTTTAATGTGTAAATGGAGGGAATAACTAAACTGTGGGTGCCCTTGGGTCTGCTTCTAATCCTATGCCCCAAAGAGGTGGGAGGCAGCTCTGTGGTGTGGTTGGTGGAGAGAAAGCTGGAGTTATCACCAGAAGACCCAAGTTCGAGTCCTGCCCGAGAATCTGGGGAAATCACTTAATCTCCCTCAGCCTCAATTGCCCCATTGCTTATTGTGAGGATAACAATAGACCCTATTACTCCTGGTGGTTTGTTAGGTTCTTCTAAAATAACAACAAAAACTAACATTTACATGGTGCATACTTATGTGCCAAGTGCTTCACAAATAGTATTTCATCTATTCTTCGTAACAGCCTCGGGAGGCAGCTGCTATCATTATCCCCATGTTACAGGTGAGGAAACAGGCAAATAGGGCGAAGTGACTTGCCCAGGGTCACACAGCTAGTAAGTATCTGAGGCTGGATTTGAAATCAGGTCTTCCTGACTCTAAGCCCAGCATTCTATCCACTGTATCACCTTTGCTGTTTGTTTCAGTTGTTTCAGTCTTGGCCAACTCTTCATGACCCCATTTGGGGTTTTCTTGGCAAAGATATCGGAGTGGTTTGCTATTTCCTTCTCCAGCTCATTTAGCAGATGAGGAAACTGAGGCAAACAGGGTGAAGTGACTTGCCCAGCTAGTAAGCGTCTGAGGCTGGATTTGAACTCAGGAAGATGAATCTGACTGACTCCAGACCTGGCATTCTATCCACTGCACCACCTCGCTGCCCATAACACGTGTAAAGTACTTTGAAAACCTTAAAGTGCCATACAAATGCCAGCTGTCAATAAAAAGAGAAAGGACCCGTACACACTTTTTCTTACAGCAAAGAACTGGGACAAAGTGGATGCCCACCAAATGCAGAACAGCTGAACAAATTAGAGCATGTGAATGAATGAATGTTAGCAGAAAAGATGAATCTAATGAGTTCAGAGAAACATGGAAAGAACAGAAACCATGGAAAAAGTGGAAGCAGAGATCTCGGCGCTGACCCCAGTAACTCAAAGGAAACAACTCTGCCCCCAGAGCTGTGACCAAGCAGGGATTGGCCCGGGCCTGAGAAGCTGGGGCCTAAGGAGGGGGAAGAAACTGAGGCTTTGAGACGATCAGTGATTCACTTGTGGTGGCACAGCTTGGAAATTCCAACCCAGGACCCCGACTTTAAATCTAGAACTGCAAGTTTGTATGATAACAATGATACCAGGTAACATCTCTAGAATGCCACGACACCAACAAATATTTTCTCCTTTGTTTCTCACAGCAAACACTGCCCAGTCCAGCAACGACAGCCCACTTGGAGCTCCTCTGCCATCTGGGGGTCTCTCCTGGGCTGTCCCCCTTGTCTCCCTCCTCACCTCAGCCTCCTGGCTTCCTGTT